TACTGAAAAGCATGTGATGATTCAGGCCTCCATTCTGATAAGAATACTCAATACTGAAAAGCATGTGACGATTCAGGCCTACATTCTGATAAGAATACTCAGTACTGAAAAGCATGTGACGATTCAGGCCTTCATTCTGAACAATGTTTTGTAGTCACTTTGGCATCCATTACAGCATTCAGCACACCTTTCTCAAAAGCATGCACACAGATTCCCTTTCGGATCTGAACCAAACTGTACATGGTGTGCAGTCCCATGAGGCATCACTGCAAGGTATATCAGTTCTGGCACTAACTACAGACTAACCTCCCCCCCCCACACACACACACAAACAAAGTTAGAGGATTTTGGTTTATGAAATAACATGAATTTTCTTACCAATGCTAAAGTGAAAAACCTAGACCGCCTGAGTTACACCAGCTTTACTCACACCATGTACACCACACTGCTACATCATGTACTGTCAAACACCTGCTTTGCCATTCAACCAACAGGTCAAACTGAAAGGTTGCAATCCTGAAATAAATCTTATTTTAAATGCAACTCCATATTACGGTAAGGCATAATCTGGGGACTAATCAAAAACATAATAACAATACATAAGCTATACCTGTCGATAGGCTTCAAGAAACCATCAACATATTACAAATCTGACTGTATAACACTGAAAAAAAACACACTGTATTACAGCTTCAGTTATCATTCGAACAAAATCCAGAAAAACCATCCACAACACATGGCTTAGACTAATAACTTTACAAAAAAACACAACCTTGCAAATGTCTTCACTACATAGAATCACACAATGAGAGTTTTGTATAATGAAAAAAATGTTTAGATAGATATTTAAAAAAAAAAATTAATTATGTACCTGATCAATATCGCCAGACAGCCGTTTAATCCACACATACAGTACACATTACGCAAGTCTTTGCTTAGGACAACAATGAATAATGTCAATAATACCAGCAAATGCAATATATTTACAGTAGTATGATTTGAATGAAATTATGTGTTATTAATGAAAAGCTTCAAGGTTTAAGGCAAAAACAAATTAGCCTCCTATTTTTAATACTAACGGATTCACTGAAAAATGTTTAAGTGTAAATTGGACCACTTGGATTTTTCTGCTTGAAGCTGTGAGTTCCCCTATTCGAAACTCAGCTAAGAAATTCTAAAAATGCTAGTTTTAACAATTGAGACGTGTATGAAGATCATTTACAACAATTCAATGTTCACACTTACCTACCTTGCTGATAACTACCCTCAGAAGCAGCAAAGAGCCCCCCAAAGACAGACCTTAAAATCATACCCCAAAAAACTGCAAAAGCTTCAGAAATCCTTCTCTCCAGACTGGAATATCTTAAAACAACATTTTCTGATTCGTTTCAGGATTGTTTCATTAATATGTGTTTTGTGTATACACTTTAACTGGCACTTTCCTTTGAGAGTACCTCGCTTCGACTCACAAATGACATCTTGCTATTCTTTTTTCAATAGTTTTAAAAATCGCTTTGGTCGAGAAACATGAACCTGCGAAAGAGGGATAGTTTTATGTCTAAAGGGGAATTTGACGGCATCCCATAATAACGTGTCAGTATGACTTAGTATTTTTTTTCTTCAACATCAGCAGTATTTAAATACAAATAATGACTTGTATTAACGCTAACTTAACCACTTACTCGGGACCTAAACTGAGATTTACACATAATGAGTAAAAACCGGAGATAAAAAAATCAGCTAAAAATGCCACCGCGTACAATGAGAGCAGCCTTCCTCCTTTCTGGGACCGTGAGAAACAGCGGGGAAGTGCGAGCGGATCCGGCGAGCGGAGCAGACCTTACCCAGGGTGAAGAACGGCAGAGCCGTGTTTTCCAGGTCATCCAAGACAGTGATTTTTCCAGGCACGTCCGTCCTGACGAGCAGAAGGAGCTGAGAGTCCCCCACTCCCCCGGACAAGCTGCCTGAACCGCCGCTGGTGAAGCTGAACTCGTTCTCTCGGAGAACCGGCAAGGTGGACACGGTGACGGTCTTCACCTCGCACGGGCTCTCCGCCCCGGGGTCCCCGTCCCTCTTCGCAGCGAACAGCCCTGTGCTCCTGCTTCGGCCCATGGTCCCAGTTTGTATCAGCAAGACCCCGAGCAGGACGACTGTCTTAAATGCGAAGATCACTCGGCTCGCCATCCCGTCGCCTGAGCGCCGCTTTCCTCGCTTTGGGCGAGATCCTTCAGCTTACGAGTTTATAGCAAATCCCCGGCAGAGCCGGCGTGTCCGTCCAGGAGGCGGCAGTGCAGGTGAAGTTAGGGCTGCGGGACGGTCGGGCTTTTATGTTCATCTGAGTGCTGAATTACAGCAAACTGCTGCAAGCGCCGCACTCATAGCCAGCCTGTTATTACACTTAAGCTTGTCGTATTATAGAATCGCATTTTTAAATGTTCTTAATTGTGTTATTTATTTGACAATGTCAATACAGAATGTCAAAGTCAGCAGCAGGTGTCCCCTAAATATGCCGCCAGATAAAAAAAGAAAACTTCTACAACTGCAAAATACCAGAGTCCTCATGCACTTTATCTGATTAATCCATGCAATGCCTTGCATAACCTAACTGATGACTATTTGCGAGTCCGTCTTTCTTTTCAGTAACCGTTTATCTAATTGTCTAAAACAATTCTCCTTACACACTTCGTCACTTCCGTTAATTTTACAATTTATTTCACCTGCTAAGAAAAATATTAATACTGAGATAAAAAAAGACAAATTCAGCTTAAAATATTTATGCTAAAAGTGAACAAAAAACATAAAATGGTCAGTTCAGAAGAAGGTCTGGAGAAATTAAACGAGTTGTAGATTTTCATAACAAACATGCCGTGATATTTACCAATGGCAAATGTTTCGTATCCTTAAACTTGTAACCAAGGGGTTATATGCACAACATGTAGCCTACTAAAAAGCAATATGCTGTTTAGCTGTGTATATTCACCACATTCAAGGAATAGTTAGGAAAACTATGTTCTATCTTAAATTCTATTTACCTGTCATTGGCTTCATACATGTATTTTATAAATTTGACACTGGGCAATGAACGTGGCGTGTGCTGTATTCAGAATAATGAAATAATATGACGGTTCGGAGCCGGTCCGCGACACCGATTATACCAGGGTGACCCGATAATCCGTGTCAGGGAGGATACTTTGATCTACTACAGGTTTTACGAACTAGTTTAACGTTGAAAGGCTCCTGTGTTTGACCAAATAGTTCAGTTCTTCGTGTGCACTGAGTGGTTCGTTTCCTTCATTGAAAGACTCATTCACTTGTTTCACACCGACATTAGTGACACATGTATGATTACTGGAGACTGACCAATCAGAACACAGCACGACCTCAGGGCTTAAGTGAAATTCATTTCCTTTTAATTGAAATGGTAGTTTACAAATCCTGTCATAGCTCAGTGTCCTCCTTGACATGGATTACATGGTCACCCTAGATTAGGCCGGCTATGGGCATGCCATGCGTGGCACCATTCATGTATGAAATTGTGCTATTAATGTGTGCATTCATGTACTTTGTGGAAAATACTACTTGTTTCACTGCTGTAGTGATTCACTGTGAGTTTTAGTGTCGTTTCGCTGGTCTGTGTCATTGCTACAGTAGCTGTCTTTGGCAATGTGCTGTTGATAAAAGTGAAGTTTTGGATTTATGTGTATATGCACGACTAATATAAACAACCTAGTTATTCTCTTTCATTAAAGCACAACCCATAACCTATTCTCTCCTACATTTGTGTAAGAAATGGAATCTCAGGTTGTTAATGAAACTGACGATCAGATCCATCAGCTCTGTCTGAGAACCTCAACATGCTGCAAGGAACAGACAGTGGCGAGGGGGACCCGACTGTAACTTCCCAGGGTGACCCAAGTCAATGTGCTGCGCTGCCAAAACCAGGCAGCAGGGGGAGCAGTGGCTCTGCGCCAAGAGGGATTGCCAAATTTGAAATCGGCGATTGGCAGAGCTAAGACTGCTGTGAAGTTTCCCCACTACAGTGGAAAGGAGTCTCTGGTGCCCTACCTTGCTTACAATGGTTGGTCCTCCTTGGGGAAGATGGTCCACCTGGCGCTGGCACTGCAAGGAGCAGCACTTCAGCTCCTCCTCTGCCTCCCCATGGATGCACAGCTGGAGTCAAGGTGCTGGAGCAGCGTTTCCACCAGCAGCCATCAGAAGAGACCATGAGAGGAAAGCCGGCGAGTTGGTGGAGACAGGAGAGCGAGAAACTGGGTATATTCACTGCCAGTCTCTGCAAATATGCATGGTGGGGCTGCCCACGTTTTTCCCCGTGTCACGCAGGAAGAGCTAGTCTCCCGTGCCTTTGTCACCAGAGCGGCTTCGCAAACACGTTCAGCTGCTACACTGACTGAGGCTTTGGCGTAAGCAGAGCGGGCTGATGTGATCCTGTCTCCGTCAGCAACCACCGGCCACCAGCCACACTGTACTGCCTGCCAGCGAGAGGCATGGGCAGTACCACTGATTTTCCATTTATTTCAATTTCAATACAATCCACTATGGTAGTGCTGATACTGATCTTGATACTGATATTCTTGTGTCAGCCCAACCCTAAAATTTACATAATAAAAATACCAATTTTTGCCAGGGCCTGCAGGGTTTTCCAGAGTGTCTGAAAAAGGGCCCCTTTTCCTTTCTCCCCCCTTATGGGCAGCCCTGCTCACTAGTAGTTCATGCTCTGTTCCCTATAATAATATGAACATTTTAATTCACAGGTAAAAACCAATACTTTTATGTTGGCATCGATTTTCAAAATGAAACACTTCAAATAAAAAGAATCTATTTCAGCATCAATCAGCACATCCCTACCACAAAGCTGCTTCTGCAGCTCCAGGAACCCCTTGCCCCAGTTTCATCAAGAGGGTCGGCTGGGTCACAAGCGGGGCCTTTACATGGACTGTGTTAGGGAGAGCACCTGATACCAAGCTCTGTTGGACACAGAGTCCACCATCACACTCATCCGCCTGGGCGTCCTCTCAGACCCCGAACAGCTGGCCCCACTGGAGTGGGAAGTGATGGAGGTCTAGCTCCAGTTTGTCACCATGCCTGCCAGTGAAGGCAGGAGGAAGCTGCTCAACATCACACTGGTGGGGTAAACCACGGATCAGGAGGTGCAGCTGGCTGACATTCGTGACCCCTGCATTGGTGGGCTGGACTTCCTGTGCCACCTGGTGACTGACATAGATGCATTCATGACCACTATTTAACAGCCACAAGCAGAACCGACAGGTACTGTATGGGGGCTGACGGCGGCGACGGGGACCACCTTAGCCCCCAACTCTTCCAGTGCTCTCTGATGTGCAGTCAACTCCCCCAGCACAGTGCAAGGGTGATGCTGTGACAGCCATACAGTACCAGAAGATGGTGCAGGCAGTTTGAGGGCTGTGGCAGTGGAGCAGTATGGACCAGTAGGTGGAGCAGTAGTGCCAGTTGAGGACACTGTTAGATGGGCTTTTCCACATCTCTGCAGCTCGAGATGACCAGAGGTGAACAACAGCATGCATCCAACATTAGATAGAAACTGGAGATGTCCAACCCATCCGTCTGCTAACTCACAGGTTGCCAAATGACAGGCTGTGGAGCAGTAGATTGAGGAAATTGCAATGGTGGCTGTCATCGAAGCTTTCAACAGTCCATGGACTGACAATCCTGGTGAAGAAGAGGGACAGGTCTTCGCAATTTTTGTGTGAAATTCCAGCATCTGAATGCTGTGACCTAGAAGAACTTGTACTGGCTAACCTTTATCTATGATGCTCTAGATCACATTGCCTGATCAAAGTGGTTCAGTTTCTTGGACTTTCCTAGTGGCTAATGGCAAGTCGAACTGGTCCCGGATGCCCAACCTAATGCACCATTGGTCACAGTATAAGGCACTTATGGGTAATGCCTGGCCCTGGTCTAAAAATTGATGGACCATGTCCTGGCCTATTTCCAACAGATGCAGTGCATCATATTGTCGAGGAACCTGCTTACCCATGATGCTGATTACATTGGTTACTAAGCTTCCTCAACCCTAAGTAACAGCTTGCCCGCTTGGTGCAGGCCTTCATTGGGTATTTCGAGGCCCAGCACTGGCCAGGCAGGCTCTCTCTCTACCGCCTCCGAAACAGGTGGCTGCTGTGTTGCACATCCCAGTGGAATTGGTCTTCAGGCTGCCCCCAGTGCTAGAGGTACCGAGAAAGCCAGGTGTCTCTGAGAATATTTGACGAGGGTGCATGACTTGGCTTGACAGCATCAAAGTGCAGTGATAGTCTGACAGAAGCTCACCTAAAATGCATGAAGCCCTGGGCAGGAATTTAGCATCGAAGACTCAGTTTGGGTCCACAGTGCCATTTGCAAGAAGTAGCAGTGATAGTCAGTGGAGAGGACTGGGGGAGATTCTCAAGCCCCTCTCAAATGTCATTTACCACTTGTAGCTGCCTGAGGGACAAAAGGTTGTGGTTCTGCACCGGGATCGTCTGACCACATATCATCCCCTGGCCCGACCTGATCCCACTATACAAGCAACTGTGGACAAGGGCGCAACAGGAGAAGAAGGTACAGTGAGGACCCTGGGGAATGTGGCATGCAGGCTATGACAACAATGACATCCCATTGTGTTTGTGGGATTTTGTGTTGGACTTGTGCGTGTGTTTTCTTTAGCATCTACCCTGAGTGCAGGAGCTGTGTCGATCGCTGGTTTCCCTATTTGTGCTGCTGATAGTTGTCTCTGGCAGTGCACTGTCAATGAAGGGGGAATTTCCATTCCTTTCATAAAGAAAGCATGAGCCACAACCCATTCTCTCCCACAGTAATACAGTTATGTTACACATACTGTACATGGTTCTCATACAAGTGAAACTGTATATATGCTTGAAAGTTCTCTAAGGAGGACAGCATGCACTTGATATCAGAAGAAATGTTTCAGTGGAATTTTATTTCTCCAATCTGTTTGTGAGGCCAGAATAAAAATGTGAAATATTTTCTGGTTTCATCCCACGTTCATATTAAGACATCTGCTCTCCAGTGACTTTTCTCTTAGGTTTTGGCTCAGAGTTGTGACACGGGTAACCCAGCAACTTGGAAGAAGGTGAGGGATTATTTTAGCAAGGATGTTTTGAGGGCTCTAAAGCACTCTAAATAGCGAATAGAGTGTCTTTATAAGCCCCCCAGTGAGTTATATGATATTTACTGAACTGGAGATGGTAATTGAATGCCCTTTCCAGAATGTCTGCTTATCACCCAAAATGTATTTGAAACCACCTAGGTAACAGTCAACAAAGTAATAAAGGCATCCTGTCATACTCTCACTGTTTGTATACTGTTGTTTTAGAATTTCCATTTAATGTATGTACAATGTTCATACCACAAAGAAACTAAATATTTCCCATGAGAAACATATTTATCCAAATGTCAATGAACAGTTCTTTCAGTGTTCAGGTAGAATGAAGCAATCCAAGTGCAAGGTTAGATTTGGGGTGAAGGATGGGCAACCAATTCTAGGATGATGAAGGGCAGCCAAAAGAGACAAGTACGAAAACAGGCACTGAGTTCACTGAACTGCTATTTGAAACTGAGTAAAAGTTATTGATAAATTGAATTAAGCTTTATTTCCATTTTA